CCAAATAGGAAAAAAATCCGATAGCGTCTCTGGTATTGTTCAGAGGGCCGGGCCAAATGTGCTGACGGGCCGTATCCGGCCCGCGGGCCGTAGTTTGGTGACCACTGGTGTAAAGGAAAGAATGAATGGGGCCATGTATCGTGAGATTTTGAATGAAAACCTCCTTCCATCAGCAAGGGCATTGAAGATGAAACGTGGCTGGGTCTTTCAGCATGACAATGATCCCAAACACACCGCACGGGCAACGAAGGAGTGGCTTCGTAAGAAGCATTTCAAGGTCCTGGAGTGGCCTAGCCAGTCTCCAGATCTCAACCCCATAGAAAATCTTTGGAGGGAGTTGAAAGTCTGTGTTGCCCAGCGACAGCCCCAAAACATCACTGCTCTAGAGGAGATCTGCATGGAGGATTGGGCCAAAATACCAGCAACAGTGTGTGAAAACCTTGTGAAGACTTACAGAAAACATTTGACCTGTGTCATTGCCAACAAAGGGTATATAACAAAGTATTGAGAAACTTTTGTTATTGACCAAATACTTATTTTCCACCATAATTTGCAAATACATTCATTAAAAATCCTACAATGTGATTTTCTGGATTTTTTTCCCTCATTTTATCTGTCATAGTTGACGTGTACCTATGATGAAAATTACAGGCCTCTCTCATCTTTTTAAGTGGGAGAACTTGCACAATTGGTGGCTGACTAAATACTTTTTTCCCCCACTGTACATGTAGAATAATTCTTCACTGTTTCACATTAGGAATAATGTGTCTAAGAGCCTACACAAATGGGCTGCAATACTCAAGGTAAATTAAGTCCAATTTGAGAGAGACTCCTGAAGTCACCACGGCCTGTAGGCCCAGGTTGCGGGCCCGACTGTTTTCTATACTGAATATTGCCAACCCAGACTGTCTTTCCTGATAACATTGTGCATTCTATGTCCATTGTGCTGCACACAATTTAAACGTTGTCTTGAATGGCGCATGCCAAGATATACCAAGGGCGTTAAAATGTTCAACCACAGAACTCAAAACACCGGTTCAGAGGTAGGAATGAAATCGCAAACTGCATTTTGTTGTTGTCTTTTGTTTTCTGCTAAAGATGATAATCTGTTTGTATCTGCCAATTTATTGGCTGTCCAGTATCCAGGTGACATGTCCCAAGAGCTTCCTATACAGTTAATCTATTTCCATAAAGTGTTGAGGCCAGCAATTGAGGAGAATGAGAGGCTCACTTCTGCGGAGAGATCTTTTTTTAAAACTAAAACTCATGAAGAACTACCAAAGGAGCATGTTCCTATGTAGCTCAGTTGGTAGAGCATGGCACATGTAACGTCAGGGTAGTGTGTTCGATTCCCGGGACCACTCATACGTAGAATGTATGCATGCATGACTGTAATTCGCTTTGGATAAAATGGCATTTATTATAAGGCTCTCGTTCAAAAGCGCATATCAGACTACCGGAGTAAGCTCCACTCATTGCACTGGCACCGTCATAGCCTTGACCACGGCATTTGTTCACCAATATTATACTTTCAATTAAATGTTTTCTTTTTCAAGTCCTGAGGCACTTTTTCAGTCATTCCTTGAAGCCCAAGAAACAAACACTTAGCTTCCTAGTATCGGTATTAAGAAGGTGTTATGAATTACTTTTTAAATGGTTACTGTCAAAATTATTTATAAAATGTTAAATGACAGGCACAGAGCTCGTGGATCTGAGTACCCCCCAGACCCTTAACAGAAGGGTAACACATTGGGGGCCGTCTGATTGGTCCAGAAACCGATGGGTTGGGCCAGAGCCAGTAACTTGATATTAAGGTTATGGCTCCTTGGTGAAAGGTAATACAATTTTGTATTGCGAGCAGACACAGTTAGAAGCCCAAGACCCGGAGGTTAGTGATGGAACTCCCCTGTGGCCTGCTCGCTCCGGGCATAGGTTGGTATCTTTAAGGGGTTCCTTCCTCCGCGCCCTGGTTGTGGTGGTGTTTTCTGTGTCCGGCCTGGTTTCTCCTTTTGATAAACTCCAGGTGGTTGGCGGTTGGCTAGTCTGGTTGGTGGTGGCCTGAGGGCTGCTAGCCACGGCAGCGCTTCTACTCGCTTCAAGGCCTGCAGTCCGTCATCTCCTCAGGCAGCTGGTCCGGTTCTGGATGCTGGGGGAGTCCGGGGTGGTCCGTGGACTGGGGAGTCAGGTCAGGCCGCGGTCAAGACGCTTACCTTTCCTTCTTTCCCAGTCTTTCAGGTGTCGGAGTGGTCAGTGGACTGGGGAGTCAGGTCGGGCTGTGGTCAAGCCACTGCTACCTTTCCTTCTTCCCCAGTCTTTCAGGTGTCGGAGTGGTCCGTGGACTAGGGGAACAGCCCCATCCGTGGTCAAGTCACTGTTACTAGCACTGTCCCCTTGTCCGTCGAAAGAAAATAAAATAGAAGATGGAGAAAATAAGGTATAGAGGGACACAACCAGGCCCGGCGGCAGGATAAACTCGGCAAGGAGGCATCAGAAATGACTAATGGGGCACAACTATTTTCGCTTGCTGATAACACAGGATGGATAATAATCGACAGTACAATTACACACAATGTATTTGCAGCCATGCACGGCTGTCTTGCCGCAAGAATACAGGCTACTGCACCGCTTTACAAACATGGACAATTCATAACCGGCTCGAGAAATTGCAATTTATGACAACGCTACACAGCTACATGCACAATACCCATCAATCCAATGCAACACAGTTGCTATTTACCGTAATAACACTTCCTCATTTCAATTCAATGCATTTCCAATCGCGGAAAGCAAACAATGTACAATGCACTACCACGACTTATCGGTACAATGCAGCTTGGACGCAGCTACCAAGCTGTCTTCCCACAAGAGTGCCGTACTACGCTGCGTATGATAACAGAGAAATTAGTATTCTATAGCAACGAGTTGTTTATGGCAACACTATAGCTACATCGTTACTCAACCATTGGTCAAGGTCTGCCCACCCTCATCAATGTAATGCGAAGCACCTCTTCTACATTATAAAACAACATTTAAAACAATCAGATGATATTATAAACCAAACATTTCCAATCCAATCACATCACAGAAATCAAGCAGTAGAGTTGGCAGTCTACGCCTATTTCTGACATTTGCCACGCATTTCCAAAAGCTAGCAAATAACAAAATAATACAAGCCCAGCCAGGCTGCCTGTTCTTACCCAGATTTAAAAGAGTTGCAGCCCCCTTCATGCTGTGTTGAACCTCCTCAGCAGTCTCTCGTTCCACCCCACAGAATTTGCCTGTAAGATCCCTCTCAAATACCAATTGAATTACATTTACATTTTAGTCATTTAGCAGACGCTCTTATCCAGAGCAACTTACAGTTAGTGAGTGCATACATAATTTTTTTTAAATTTTCATACTATTTTTCATACCCCCGTGGGAATCGAACCCACAACCCTGGCTTTGCAAACGCCATGCTCTACCAACTGAGCTACATCCCTGCCGGCCATTCCCTCCCCTACACTGGACAAATTGTGCGCCGCCCCATGGGTCTCCCAGTCACGGCTGGCTACGACAGAGCCTGGATTCGAACCAGGATCTCTAGTGGCACAGCTAGCACTGCGATGCAGTGCCTTAGACCACTGTGCCACTCGGGAGGTTGAATCAGATGCGCTTTCCTTCTGTGCAACATGCTCCGTCTGTGCTCACTGAATACGTTTTTCAATGTTGAAAAATAGTTATCGCAAGTTGCCGTGGATGCTCCAAATGTTAATCCCAGCTTCAATGTCATCATCACAGTAGACATTGCTGTTAGAGGCCCGGAGTATCTATCCAAAATGCTCTGTTGTCCATTTTTCTTCTCCAGATTGGGCGAATTTAGTCTGTAGAACTGGCGTGTGACAGTAAACTCAGTTTCCACAAAATCTCCTGAGATTAAGTCCAGCAGTGGTTTCACTTTTTCCACATCCATAAATGTTTCATTCTCTGGGTGCAAGGCACATAGGGCCTCAACAAGTTGGCTGTTTCGTTTGTTAAATCTTGCTGACATTTCTCCCAGTACAACATCCAGAGTGCTGAAAAACAGTATTTTGCACTCCCTCTCATTATCCTCTTCTTGCTGGCCCATTGTTGTTTCAACCACATATTCTTTCAGATTACTACTCAGTACTCTTTGTCGTTTGCTTGGAGCGGGGGTGTCCGTGTGCTTGTATTTCTCCCATAACTCATCAAACTACATCATGCAGGAATATTCCAGTCACTCTCTGCCTTTGAACACTGGCAGTACTGCTGCTAGGTTCGGTCTTGGCGGCTGCAGGCCCTTCCTCGGGTTGGTTACCTCCTATGTTACCAGGCTGCAAGACGGTTGCGCAGGTGCCTTTGCTGCTGGGCTCGGCGGCCTTGACCTCGGTGATTAGCGTCGGATCAGCGGCCTTGCCTTTGGCCTCTGTGGCAGGCTTCTCCCCCTCCCTGCCGCTTTGATCCGATGCTGCCGTTGTGCCCTGGCGAAGCCACTTTCTAATATCCATCATACTATCAGCTACCTACCTAACTGTTAACATTAGCTAAATTCCATCCAGCTGCGCTGTGATTTTTAACAAATTATTCATACTACGTAACTATTAAAGGTTTTTCAACCGGTAAAATGTGTATGACATACGTATGATGCGTGCAAGGGAGTTGCATGAGTGAAGCATACACAACAAATCGGTTGGGCATGACGGAGGGGGCAGATTGTGGGACAGAATAGGGGTACAAAACTGAGGGGCCACAATATTCCAACTAAGGGGACATTGCCCCCTTTTGCACCATCGTGGTGCCGGGCATGGACACAACCCCATAAAATACCTCACAGGCTTGTGCATAATGATGAGAAACCATAGTCTATTGATTTTCATATGTACAGATAAAAGTACAGAAAACCGTACACACAGATGTTAGATGATAGTATTTAATGTGCGGTTTTATCAGGATTGTGGCAAAGATTTTCTACTTGTGGTCAAGTTATGTTTGGCGGTAAAGACTTCCCTTCTCTGTGTGTGATCATCCATTCCGCTTCGGGGGACCCAGCTAGCGAGTTTGATTGACAGCGTCAGTGGTTTTGTTTATGCCGCGGTCAGCTCGTGGCGGAAACACTGACATTTTCGATTTGCTGACGGGTAGATGATACCACAGTTTCCCACTTGGGAAGTACAGTACGTATCAGAATCAACCAATAGCAAACTCTACGCAAATAGCTTAAGTTCATTTTAACTCGGAGGTCCCCAGTTTCAGACATGACATGAACGCGGCATCACTCCTCATTGGTTTACTGAAATAATTTGCGGAAGCCTCCTTGCTTTCTCTTTACAAGTTCACTGGCACTACAAAGTCTGGTAAGTAGCTACTACTAACATGTTGAATACGTATGATTAAGTCGAGGTGATTCAAATGTTAGTGTAAGTTAGCCTCGTTTGCTATATTTGCCTGCTACGTCAGCCTTCTTAGCTAGCTATTACTTTAACACTGCTAGCTATCCGCTTCCTGTCCGGGGAGCTAGCTGGTAGCTAACCTGTCTAGTTGGTTTGTAGGCTTGCGAAAAAGGCCATACCATTTTTGGTTGTAATCGTAACAGTATTTAAACGAACTGCAGCATTGATGTTGTGTTGCTACCATTTGTTCAACCTAACTCATGGTTTTGATTGTTCAGCTAGCTAACATCTATATGGTCGGCAAATTAGCCCCCAAACTAGCTGTCGTCAGTTAAACATACATTTATTATCATTCGCAGGGGACATTTTCAGATTTTTTTAGTTGTTGCTTTTTAAGCAGACCAGCCACTCTGAAAAGGGGCGTTTTTTGGCAAAGGCATCGTTGGGGGAAACATTTGCAGCGGGTGTGTTCCATGTGTCAACACTAGAGTAATTAGCCTATCCCCATACAGACATTGGGCTATCCTAACTTGTAGGCTTCCATTATTCTTGTAATGGGCACATGATTTCCATGATGCATGGGTATTTATGACTCAAGTAATTGGTGCTCGTCTTTTTATTTTATTTTTATAAACTACTTTTAAAAGCGACTAGCTACGTTTTTAATCTGTTTTTCCCTTCTCCCAGGTCGACACATTTCAATTGATTAAACATGTTTCTTGCCAAAAGACTCATCGGTGGCATTCTTGATGTCGTAAGGTAGGGATCTGGCTGTAGTACTAAGGACGCCTTCTAAATCATTATCTTATTATGTATAAACAATGTTCACCACAGGAATTTAGTCACTACATGTTTCTGGCGCATTGCCTGATGGGAAGGGGGTTGAGGAGGCTTTGTGGGTTGTGGGGGAGGAAGGGAAATGAAAGTAGTCTAATCTTAGGACTTTGCCACTCCTAAAACTGATTGTGTCATTGCAACGTCCAAGCTATGTTGGATAGGAGCATGATTCTTCAGCTAGTAACCTCAGGCCATGACAATCAATGCCTCATCAGACACTACATGACCAAAAGTATGTGGACACATGCTTGTTGAACATCTCAATCCAAAATCATGGGCATTAATATGCTTCTATAACAGCCTCCACTCTTCTGGGAACAGTTTCCATTAGATGTTGGGACTTGCTTCCATTCAGCCACAGGAGCATTCGTGAGGTCAGGCACTGATGTTAGGCGATTAGGCCTGGCTCACGGTCAGTGTTCCAATTCATCCCAAATGTGTTTTCGATGTAGTTGAGGTCAGGGCTCTGTGCAGGCCAGTCAAGGTCTTCCACACCGATCTCAACAAACCATTTCTGTATGGACCTCACTTTGTGCACGGCGGCATTGTCATGCTGAAACAGGAAAGGGCCTTCCCCAAACTGTTGCCGCAAAGTTGGAAGCACAGAATCGTCTAGAATGTCATTGTCTGCTGTAGCATTAATATTTCCCTTCACTGGGGGCCTAGACCGAACCACGAAAAACAGCCCCAGACCATTTGAAACCCCACCTCTTTAAGGAATACCTGGGATAGGATAAAGTAATCCTTCTACCCCCCCCCCCCCCCCCCCCCCCCCCCCCCCCAAAAAAAAAATTGTAAAGTGGTTATCCCACTGGCTATAGGGTGAATGCATCAATTTGTGAGTCGCTCTGGACTAGAGCGTCTGCTAAATGACGTAAATGTGCCCTTGAGCAAGGCACTTAACCCTAATTGCTCCTGTAAGTCGCTCTGGATAAGAGCGTCTGCTAAATGACTAAAATGTAAATGTAAATTATTCCTCCTCCACCAAACTTTACAGTTGCCACTATGCATTGGGGCAGGTAGCGTTCTCCTGGCATCCGCCAAACCCAGATTGTGGTGAAGCGTGGTTCATTACTCCAGAGAGCTCGTTTCCACTGCTCCAGAGTCCAATTGCGGCGAGCTTTACACCCCTCCAGCCGACGCTTGGCATTGCGCACAGTGATCTTAGGCTTGTGTGCAGCTGCTCGGCCATGGAACCCATTTCATGAAGCTCCAGACAAACAGTTATTGTGCTGACGTTGCTTCCAGAGGCAGTTTGGAACTCGGTAGTGAGTGTTGTAACTGAGGACAGACGATTTTACACACTACACGCTTCAGCGGTCCCGTTCTGTGAGCTAGTGTGGCCTACCACTTCACGGCTAAGCCGTTGTTGCTCCTAGATGTTTCCACTTCACAATAACAGCACTTACAGTTGACCGGGGCAGCTCTAGTGGGGCAGACATTTTACGAACTGACTTGTTGGAAAGGTGGCATCCTATGACGGTGCCACGTTGAAAGTCACTGAGCTATTCAGTAAGGCCATTCTACTGCCGATATTTGTCTATGGAGATTCCATGGCTGCGTGCTCGGGTGTGGCTGAAATAGCCAAATCCACTAATTTGAAGGGGTTTCCACATACTTTTGTGTATATATAGTGTATCACTGTTTGGAATGCTACCAAATGACTAACCTGTTAATCTCCCCTGTGTCCCCTGCAGCAACATTGATCCAGCCGCGTTTGTGCCCTCTGACCCAGTGAGTGGCATCAATATTTTATCATTTAAGTTATCACCAGAATACACAGTATCGCTGAAAATGTGCCTTTGTTATGGATAATAGTAACCTGAACTGTAAATGCCTCAATTACTAATGTTGTTATCCTGCAGCCCGCACCACGAAGGCCACTTGCGTACGCAGAGCAGAATGAGAGTGATGAGGAAAGACAGTTTCGCAAAGTCTTCCAGCAGTTGGCTGGAGATGTGAGTACGATATGTCCCCGTCGCTTCTCACACATTCCTATTCTGGTTTACCTTCATACTACCTCTGTAAAAGTAAACCCCCTGTGGCAATGCTACACATTGCCGTTAGAAAGGCACTGTGACTGCTGAAATTGATGCAGCCTAGCAGTTTGATCTTCATTTAATTATTTCAGATTTTAACAATGGCTCAAATTCACTATTGTATATTGTTAAGACACATTATGCATGGTACTCTTCGATGTTGGAGTAATTAAACGGAATAACTTTTCCCACAGGACATGGAGGTGAGCCCAACCGAATTGATGAACATCCTGAACAGAATTATTTCCAAACGTAAGCTATGTTTCTGTCTCTGTTCGTGTGCCTGTCTATGTATGTGCTTGCGTGCATTAAGTGTAAGCTGTTTGTTAATCCCTCTATCTCAGAAAGCCATGTTTGAGATGTAATATTTGTGATTAATTTCTCAGTGAGGTTGATGTTTGGCCTCTTAACAGAAGTGTTTGTCACTTTGTGAGTCAGTAAGGGCATGGTGATCTGTGTGACCTGGCTGCTTTTGAATTTCAGATGGTGACCTGAAGACAGACGGGTTTAGCATTGAGTCCTGCAGGAGCATGGTTGCAGTCATGGATGTATCCTTCCTGTTATTACCTGTTTGTGGTAATGCATCTGATGTTGATGCAAAAGTATCATTTACAGAATTTAGTGCCATAAGGATGGAGAGATAATTCAGACATAGCCATATAAAAGGTCTCAGAACAAGGGGGAAGGTTTATCGACAACCCATGTTTCTCAAGGGTTTAGGTAAATTTAAAATCCATCATATAATACATCTGATGGATTATTTAAATTGACCTAAACTCATGGAAAACATGGGTTGTCCATAACCTCCCCCTTGTTCTTAGACCTTTACTATGGCTGTCCAAATTATCTCCATCCTTCCTAAGTGGGCATTTGTTCACTTCCCTTCACTGATTTTGAAAGGAAATGACTGGTGTAAAAATATGGTGGAAACTCTCACCAATCCAATGCTTTTAGAGTTGTGGAAGTAGTTGTGCACATGTTCACTTCACTTCACTGATTTGAAAGGAAATTCTCAATTGGGAGTTTGTCCTCCCCTCGACTACTCCGTCCTCCTCTTCTCTGTGACCCGGAAACCGATAAGTGGTCACCATATGTAGGAGTGTCAATTCGTTAATAGGCGAATGGAAGAGTTTGCCAAGGATACTCTGGTGTAGCCTACCAGCTCCCTATCGCGGAAGCGTTTTGAAATCCGCCCACACCCCCTTTGAATCATCTGTTTTCTTGATTGAGAAAAACATGCACATATTTAAAATCAATACACTACTTATCTTTTATCTATAAAATGTCTGGCACAACCAGCAATTTTATTTTTTACCACTTTACACATGTATTTTGGGATTCCTCCTCTGTAAACGTAATATGTCTGATGCGCGAGTGGTGAAGGAGTCTCATTTCATACAAGCACATTTGTTTCCTTTCTTCCGCGCCTCAATTACCTTGGGCCTTTATCAAAAGGAGGCGAGGAGGACGCGAGGAGTCGAGCAAAACCAATTGAGTATCTCCCAATGACTGGTATAAGAAATAAAGTGGAAACTCCCACTAGCCCATGCCTCCACCAATCCAATGCTTTTAGATTTGTAGTGTGCACTTGTTCACTTCCCTTTACTGATTTGAAAGGAAATGACTGGTATAAGAAATATGGTGGAAACTCCCATTAGCCCATGCCTCCACCAATCCAATGAGGTAACTTACACTGAGTGCACAAAACATTAGGAACACCTTCCTAATATTGAGTTGAACCCCCTTTTGTCCTCAGAGCAGCCTTAATTCATTGGGGCATGGACTCTATAAGGTGTCAAAAGCATTCCACAGGGATGCTGGCCCATGTCGACTCCAATGCTTCCCACAGTTGTCAAGTTGGCTAGATGTCCTTTGGGTGGTGGACGATTCTTGATACACAAGGGAAACTGTTGAGCGTGAAAAACCCAGGAGCGTTGCAGTTCTTGTCACACTCAAACAGCTGCGCTTGGCACCTACTATCATACCCCATTCAAAGGCACTTACATCTTTTGTCTTGCCCAATTACCCTATGAATGGCACACATACACAATCCATATCTCTATTGTCTCAAAAATCCTTCTGTAACGTGTCTCCTCCCCGTCACTGATTTTGAAGTGGATTTAACAAGTGACATCAATAAGGGATCATAGCTTTCACCTGGTCAGTCTGTCATGGAAGGAACGGGTGCTCGTAATGTTTTGTACAGTCAGTGTTATTAGACTCATAGGTGTCAGGTTTTTGTGAACCTTAACGCTGTTGCAGAGTGACAGCACTGGGAAGCTCGGATTCCATGAGTTCAAACACCTCTGGAACAATATCAAGAAATGGCAGGTGAGAATTTATTTTCCACCAGCTTGGTAAAAACAGAATTTCCCTTTAATTTGAATAACAAAGTAGTTTGAGAGTATTGGCACTATACATACATGCATACGCACGCATACACTACCGTTCAAAAGTTTGGGGTCACTTAGACATTTCCTTGTTTTCTATGAAAACATAAATGAAATGACTTTGAATAGGAAATATAGCAAAATGCATAGGAAATGTAGTCACTGACAAGGTAAAAAATTAATGATTTTTAATATAAATAATGATTGTGTCCTTCAAACTTTGCTTTCGTCAAAGAATCCTCCATTTGCAGCAATTACGGCCTTGGAGACCTTTGGCATTCTAGTTGTCAATTTGTTGATGTAATCTGAAGAGATTTCACCCCATGCTTCCTGAAGCACCTCCTACAAGTTGGATTGGCTTGATGGGCACTTCTTACGTACCATACGGTCAAGCTGCTCCCACAACAGCTCAATAGGGTTAAGATCTGGTGACTGTGCTGGCCACTCCATTATAGACAGAATACCAGCTGACTGCTTCTTCCCTAAATAGTTATTGCATAGTTTGGAGCTGTGCTTTGGGTCATTGTCCTGTTGTAGGAGGAAATTGGCTCCAATCAAGCGCCGTCCACAAATCAAATCAAATTTTATTTGCCACATGCGCCGAATACAACAGGTGTAGACATTACCGTGAAATGCTTACTTACAGGGTATGGCATGGCGTTGCAAAATGGAGTGATAGCCTTCCTTCTTCAAGATCCCTTTTACCCTGTACAAATCTCCCACTTTACCACAACCAAAGCACCCCTAGATCATCACATTGCCTCCACAATGCTTGACAGATGGCATCAGGCACTCCTCCAGCATCTTTTCATTTGGTCTGAGTCTCACAAATGTTCTTCTTTGTGATCCGAACACCTCAAACTTTGATTAGTCTGTCCATAACACTTTTTTCAAATCTTCCTCTGTCCAGTGTCTGTGTTCTTTTGCCCATCTTAATCTTTTCTTTTTATTGGCAAGTCTGAGATATGGCTTTTTCTTTGCAACTCTGCCTAGAAGGTGAGCATCCCGGAGTCGCCTCTTCACTGTTGACGTTGAGACTGGTGTTTTGCGGGTACTATTTAATGAAGCTGCCAGTTGAGGACCTGTGAGGTGTCTGTTTCTCAAACTAAAGACACTAATGTATTTGTCCTCTTGCTCAGTTGTGCACCGGGGCCTCCCACTCCTATTTCTATTCTGGTTAGAGCCATTTTGTGCTGTTCTGTGAAGGGAGGAGTACACAGCGTTGTACGAGATCTTCAGTTTCTTGACAATTTCTCGCATTGAATAGCCTTAATTTATCAGAACAAGAATAGACTGACGAGTTTCAGAAGAAAGTTCTTTGTTTCTGGCCATTTTGATTCTGTAATCGAACCAACAATTGCTCATGCTCCAGATACTCAACTAGTCTCAAGAAGACCAGTTTTATTGCTTCTTTAATCAGCACAACATTTTAAAGCTGTGCTAACATAATTGCAAAAGGGTTTTCTAATGATCAATTAGCCTTTTTAAAATGATGAACTTGGATTAGCAAACAAGACTGATGGTAGCTGATAATGGGCCTCTGTATGCCTAGATATTCCATAAAAAATCAGCCGTTTCCAGCTACAATAGCCATTTACAACATTAACAATGTCTACACTGTATTTCTAATCAATTTGATGTTATTTTAATGGACAAAAAAAATTCTGAAACAAGGACATTCAAGTGACCCCTAACATTTCAATAGTGTGTGTGTATATATACAGTATCTCACAAAAGTGAGTACACCCTCACATTTTTGTAAATATTTGAGTATATCTTTTCATGTGACAACACTGAAGAAATGACACTTTGCTACAATGTAAAGTAGTGAGTGTACAGCTTGTATAACAGTGTACATTTGCTGTCCCCCCTCAAAATAACACCACACACAGCCATTGTCTAAACCGCTGGCAACAAAAGTGAGTACACCGCTAAGTGAAAATGTCCAAATTGGGCCCAAAGTGTCAATATTTTGTGTGGCCACCATCATTTTCCAGCTCTGCCTTAACCCTCTTGGGCATGGAGTTCACCAGAGCTTCACAGGTTGCCACTGGAGTCCTCTTCCACTCCACCATGACGACATCACGGAGCTGGTGGATGTTAGAGACCTTGCACTCCTCCACCTTCCGTTTGAGGATGCCCCACAGATGCTCAATAGGGTTTAGGTCTGGAGAAATGCTTGGCCAGTCCATCACCTTTACCCTCAGCTTCTTTAGCAAGGCAGTGGTCGTCTTGGAGGTGTGTTTGGGGTCGTTATCATGTTTGAATACTGCCCTGCGGCCCAGTCTCCGAAGGGAGGGGATCACGCTCTGCTTCAGTATGTCACAGTACATGTTGGCATTCATGGTTCCCTCAATGAACTGTAGCTCCCCAGTGCCGGCAGAACTCATGCAGCCCCAGCCCCAGACCATGACACTCCCACCACCATGCTTGACTGTAGGCAAGACACACTTGTATTTGTACTCCTCACCTGGTTGCCGCCACACACGCTTGACACCATCTGAACCAAATACGTTTATCTTGGTCTCATCAGACCACAGGACATGGTTCCAGTAATCCATGTCCTTAGTCTGCTTGTCTTCAGCAAACTGTTTGCGGGCTTTCTTGTGCATCATCTTTAGAAGAGGCTTCCTTCTGGGTCTGAGCACTGACAGGCTGACCCCCCACCCACCCACCCACCCACCCACCCACCCCTTCAACCTCTGTAGCAATGCTGGCAGCACTCATACGTCTATTTCCCAAAGACAACCTCTGGATATGACGCTGAGCACGTGCACTCAACTTCTTTGGTCAACCATGGCGAGGCCTGTTCTGAGTAAAACCTGTCCTGTTAAACCGCTGTATGGCCTTGGCTACTGTGCTGCAGCTCAGTTTCAGGGTCTTGGCAATCTTCTTATAGCCCAGCCCATCTTTATGTAGAGCAACAATTATTTTTCTCAGATCCTCAGAGAGTTCTTTGCCATGACACCAAATTTAACACACCTGCTCCCCATTCACACCTGAGACCTTGTAACACTAACGAGTCACATGACACCGGAGAGGGAAAAAAGCTAATTGGGCCCAATTTTGACATTTTCACTTAGGGGTGTACTCACTTTTGTTGCCAGCGGTTTAGACATTAATGGCTGTGTGTGGTGTTATTTTGAAGGGGACAGCAAATTTACACTGTTATACAAGCTGTACACTCATTACTTTACATTGTAGCAAAGTGTCATTTCTTCAGTGTTGTCACATGAAAAGATATATTCAAATATTTACAAAAATGTGAGGGGTGTACTCACTTTTGTGAGATACTGTATATATACACACACTGTTGAAATGTTTGGGGTCACTTAAATGTCCTTGTTTTATAAAAAAATTTGTCCATTAAAATAACATCAAATTGATTAGAAATACAGTGTAGACATTGTTAATGTTGTAAATGGCTATTGTAGCTGGAAACGGCTGATTGAGCCTATGTGTGTGTGTGTGTGTGTGTGTATATATATATATATATATATATATATATATATATATATATATTACTGCTCAAAAAAATAAAGGGAACACTTAAACAACACAATGTAACTCCAAGTCAATCACACTTCTGTGAAATCAAACTGTCCACTTAGGAAGCAACACTGATTGACAATACATTTCACATGCTGTTGTGCAATGCTATTCATTGACTACAGCTCAGCATTCAACACCATAGTGCCCTCTAAGCTCATCACTAAGCTAAGGATCCTGGGACTAAACACCTCCCTCTGCAACTGGATCCTGGACTTCCTGACGGGCCGCCCCCAAGTGGTAAGGGTAGGTAACAACACATCTGCCACACTGATCCTCAACACGGGGGCCCCTCAGGGGTGCGTGCTCAGTCCCCTCCTGTACTCTCTGTTCACCCATGACTGCATGGCCAGGCACGACTCCAACACCATCATTAAGTTTGCCGACGACACAACAGTGGTAGGCCTGATCACCGACAACGATGAGACAGCCTATAGGGAGGAGGTCAGAGATCTGGCCGTGTGGTGCCAGGACAACAACCTCTCCCTCAACGTGACCAAGACAAAGGAGATGATTGTGGACTACAGGAAAAAAAAGAGGACTGAGCACGCCCCCATTCTCATCGACGGGGCTGTAGTGGAACAGGTTGAGAGCTTCAAGTTCCTTGGTGTCCACATCACCAACGAACTATCATGGTCCAAACACACCAAGACAGTCGTGAAGAGGGCACGACAAAGCCTATTCCCCCTCAGGAGACTAAAAAGATTTGGCATGGGTCCTCAGATCCTCAAAAAATTATACAGCTGCACCATCGAGAGCATCCTGACTGGTTGCATCACCGCCTGGTATGGCAACTGCTTGGCCTCTGACCGCAAGGCACTACAGAGGGTAGTGCGTACGGCCCAGTACATCACTGGGGCAAAGCTCCCTGCCATCCAGGACCTCTATACCAGGCGGTGTCAGAGGAAGGCCCTCAAAATTGTCAAAGACTCCAGCCACCCTAGTCATAGACTGTTCTCTCTGCTACCGCACGGCAAGCGGTACCGGAGTGCCAAGTCTAGGTCCAAAAGACTTCTCAACAGCTTCTACCCCCAAGCCATAAGACTCCTGAACAGCTAATCATGGCTACCCGGACTATTTGCACTGCCCCCCCCACCCCATCCTTTTTACGCTGCTGCTACTCTGTTAAGTATTTATGCATAGTCACTTTAACTCTACCCACATGTACATATTACCTCAACTACCTCAACTAGCCGGTGCCCCCGCACATTGACTATGCAACGGTACCCCCCTGTATATATAGCCTCCCTACTGTCACTTTATTTTATTGTATATATAGCCTCCCTACTGTCACTTTATTTTACTTCTGCTCTTTTTTTCTCAACACTTTTTTGTTGTTGTTTTATTCTTACTTTTTTGTTTAAAATAAATGCACTGTTGGTTAAGGGCTGTAAGTAAGCATTTCACTGTAATGTCTGCACCTGTTGTATTCGGCGCATGTGACCAATAAAATTTGATTTGATTTGAAATGGAATAGACAACAGGTGGAAATTATAGGCAATTAGCAAGACACCCCCATTTAAGAAGTGGTTCTGCAGGTGGTGACCACAGACCACTTCTCAGTTCCTATGCTTCCTGGCTGATGTTTTGGTCACTTTTGAATGTTGGCGGTGCTTTCACTCTAGTGGTAGCATCAGACGGAGTCTACAACCCACACAAGTGGTTCAGGTAGTGCAGCTCATCCAGGATGGCACATCAATGCGAGCTGTGGCAAGAAGGTTTGCTGTGTCTGTCAGCGTAGTGTCCAGAGCATGGAGGCGCTACCAGGAGACAGGCCAGTACATCAGGAGACGTGGAGGAGGCCGTAGGAGGGCAACAACCCAGCAACAGGACCGCTACCTCCGCCTTTGTGCAAGGAGGAGCAGGAGGAGCACTGCCAGAGCCCTGCAAAATGACCTCCAGCAGGCCACAAATGTGCATGTGACTGCTCAAACGGTCAGAAACAGACTCCATGAGGGTGGTATGAGGGCCCGACGTCCACAGGTGCAGGACGTTTGGCATTTGCCAGAGAACACCAAGATTGGCAAATTCGCCACTGGCGCCCTGTGCTCTTCACAGATAAAAGCAGGTTCACACTGAGCACATGTGACAGACGTGACAGAGTCTGGAGACGCCGTGGAGAACGTTCTGCTGCCTGCAACATCCTCCAGCATGACCGGTTTGGCGGTGGGTCAGTCATGGTGTGGGGTGGCATTTCTTTGGGGGGCAACACAGCCCTCCATGTGCTCGTCAGAGGTAGCCTGACTGCCATTAGGTACCGAGATGAGATCCTAAGACCCCTTGTGAGACCATATCCTGGTGCGGTTGGCCCTGGGTTCCTCCTAATGCAAGACCATGCTAGACCTCATGTGGCTGGAGTGTGTCAGCAGTTCCTGCAAGAGGAAGGCATTGATGCTATGGACTGGCCTGCCCGTTCCCCAGACCTGAATCCAATTGAGCACATCTGGGACATCATGTCTCGCTCCATCCACCAACGCCACGTTGCACCACAGACTGTCCAGGAGTTGGCGGATGCTTTAGTCCAGGTCTGGGAGGAGAGCCCTCAGGAGACCATCTGCCACCTCATCAGGAGCATGCCCAGGCATTGTAGGGAGGTCATACAGGCACGTGGAGGCCACACACACTACTGAGCCTCATTTTGACTTGTTTTAAGGACATTTACATCAAAGTTGGATCAGCCTGTAGTGTGGTTTTCCACTTTAATTTTGAGGGTGACTCCAAATCCAGACCTCCATGGGTTGATAAATTTGATTTCCATTGATAATTTTTGTGTGATTTTGTTGTCAGCACATTCAACTATGTAAAGAAAAAATTATTTCATTCATTCAGATCTAGGATGTGTTATTTTAGTGTTCCCTTTATTTTTTTGAGTAGTGTGTATATATACTACCAGTCAAAAGTTTGGATAACACATATGGAATCATGTAGTAACCAAAAAAAGTGTTTAACAAATCAAAATATATTTTATTTGAGATTCTTCAAATTGCCACCCTTTGCCTTGATGACAGCTTTGCACACTCTTGGTATTCTCTCAACCAGCTTCATGAGGTAGTCACCTGGAATGCATTTCAATTAACAGGTGTGCCTTCTTTAAAAGTTAATTTGTGGAATTTCTTTCCTTAATGCGTTTGAGCCAAATAGTTGTGTTGTGACAAGGTAGGGGGGTATACAGAAAATAGCCCTATTTGGTAAAAGACAAAGTCCATATTATGGCAAGAACAACTCAAATAAGCAAAGAGAAATGACAGTCCATCATTACTTTAAGACGTGAAGGTCAGTCAATCCGGAAAATGTGAAAAACTTTTAACGTTTCTTCAAGTGCAGTTGCAAAAACCATCAAGCACTATGATGAAACTGGCTCTACTGAGGAACGCCACAGGAAAGTAAGACCCAGAGTTACCTCTGCTGCAGAGGATAAGTTCATTAGTTACCAGCCTCAGAAATGGCAGCCCAAATAAGTTCTTCACAGAGTTCAAGTAACAGACACGTCAACATCAACTGTTTAGAGGAGACTGCGTGAATCAGGACTTCATGGTCGATTGCTGCAAAGAAATCACTACTAAAGGACACCAATAAGAAGAAGAGACTTGCTTGGGCCAAGAAACACGAGCAATGGACATTAGACCGGTGGAAAACTGTCCTTTTGGTCTGGAGTCCAAATTTGAGATTTTTGGTTCCAACCGCTGTGTCTTTATGAGACGCAGTGTAGGTGAACGGATGATCTCTGCATTTGTAGTTCCCACCGTGAAGCATGGAGGTGTGATGGTGTTTTTTTTTTTTTTCTGTTGACACGGTCTGTCATTTATTTAGAATTCAAGGCACATAAGCCATCCCATCTGGTTTGGGCTTAGTGGGAAAATAATTTGTTTTTCAACAGGACAATGACCCAACACACCTCCAGGCTGTTTAAGGGCTAATTGACCAAGAAGGAGAGTGATGGAGTGCTGCATCAGATGACCTGGCCTCCACAATCCCCCGACCTCAACCCAATTGAGATTATTTGGGATGAGTTGGACCGCAGAGTAAAGGAAAAGCAGCCAACAAGTGCTCAGCATATGTGGGAACTCCTTCAAGACTGTTGGAAAAGCATTCCAGGTGAGGCTGGTTGAGAGAATGCCAAGAGTGTGCAAAGCTGTCAAAGGTAAAGGTGGCTACTTGGAAGAATCTCAAATATATTTTGATTTGTTTAACACTTTTTTTGGTTACTACATGATTCCACGTCTTATTTCATAGTTTTGATGTCTTTACTATTATTCTACAATGTAGAAAATAGTAAAAATAAAGAAAAACCCTTGAATGAGTAGGTGTTCTAAAACCTTTGACCGGTAATGTACATAGTATTATAATGAGAAAGTATGATAAAAATGTGTAACCATGGAGATTTAACATAGATGTATTATACAACATACAAATGTATCTCACTATATACAGTGCCTTCGGAAAGTATTCAGACCCCTTGACTTTTATAAATTGTTACGTTACAGCCTTATTCTAAAATTGATTCAATATTTTTTTCCTCATCAATCTACACACAATACACCATAAAGATAAAGCGACAACAGGTTTAGACATTTTTGCACATTTATTTAAAATAAAAAAACAGATACCGTATTTACATAAGTGTTCAGACCCTTTGCTATGCGACTCAAAATTGAGCTCTGGTGCATCCTGTTTCCGTTGATCATCCTTGATGTTTCTACAACTTGATTGGAGTCCACCTGTGGTAAATTAAATTGACTGGACATGATTTGGAAAGGCACACCTTTCTATAAAAGGTCCCACAGTTGACAGTGCATGTCAGACCAAAAACCAAGCCATGGGGTCGAAGGAATTGTCTGTAGAGCTCCGAGACAGGGTTGTGTCGAGGCACAGATCTGGGGAAGGGTACCCAAAAAATTATGCAGCATTGAAGGTCCCGAAGAACACAGTGGCCTAGATCATTCTTAAATGGAAGAAGTTTGGAACCACCAAGACTCTTCCTAGATCTGGCCGCTCTGCCAAACTGAGCAATCGATGGTCACTCTGACAGAGCTCTAGACTTCCTCTGTGGCAATGGGAGAACCTTCCAGAAGGACAACCATCTCTGCAGCACTCCACCAATCAGGCCTTTATGGTGGAGTGGCCAGACAGAAGCCACTCCTCAGGAAAAGGCACATGACAGCCCGCTTGGAGTTTGCCAAAAGGCACCTAAAGACTCTCAGACCATGAGAAACAAGATTCTCTGGTCTGATGAAACCAAGATTGAACTCTTTGGCCTGAATGCAAAGTGTCAAGTCTGGAGGAAACCTGGCACCATCCCTACGGTGAAGCATGGTGGTGGCAGCATCACTGGGAGACTAGTCAGGATTGAGGCAAAGATGAACGGAGCAAAGTACAGAGATATCCTTGATGAAAACCTGCTCAGGACCTCCGACTGGGGTGAAGGTTCACCTTCCAACAGGACAACGACCCTAAGCACACAGCCAAAACAACGCAGGAGTAGCTTCGGGACAAGTCTCTGAATGTCCTTGAGCGGCCAAGCCAGAGCCCGGACTTGAACCTGATCTAACGTCTCTGGAGAGACCTGAAAATAGCTGTGCAGCAACGCACCCCATCCAACCTGACAGAGCTTGAGAGGATCTGCAGAGACGAATGGGAGAAACTCCCCAAATACAGGTGTGCCAAGCTTGTAGCGTCATACCCAAGAAACGCTATGCTGTAATCGCTGCCAAAGGTGCTTCAACAAAGTACTGAGTAAAGGTCTGAACACTTATGTAAATGTGATTTTAACTTTTCATAAATTAGCAAATATTTCAAAAAAATGGTTTTTGCTTTGTCATTATGGGGTTTTGTGTGTAGATTGAGGGGGGTAGGAACAATGTAATCAATTTTTGAATAAGGCTCTAACGTAACAAAACGTGGAAAAAGTCAAGGGGTCTGAATACTTTCCGAAGGCACTGTGTGTGTATGTTTTATGATAAATTTTTCTTCCAGGGTGTGTATAAGACTTATGACACTGATGGCTCTGGGGTTATTGGTGCAGATGAGCTGCCCAACGCTTTCAGGGCGGCAGGTAAGAGCTATCATCTAGCACAGAAACATTTTTGCTGTTTGCCAGACACTTTTTACAGCATATATCTTGAAACAGTGTGATATCCATACATTTTGAATCTCTAAGTTCTTAAGTAAATTGGCGTTTGATCAAGAAATCCTGTGTTATTCTTTCTAGCTTTCTAGATATCAGCTGTTCAGTTTGGACCAAGGATGTACATAACATGTAAATATGTGTGTCTATGTTTGGACACAGGCTTCCCCCTCAATGATCAGCTGTTCCAGATGATAATTCGCAGATACAGTGACGAGAACGGGAACATGGACTTTGACAACTACATTGGCTGCCTTGTGAGACTGGACGCTATGTGCCGTAAGTCCGATTCCCTGCTCTTTCCTATCTCATCATCATTGCAAGGGTTATTTTAGCTCTGTATAGGCGTTAGATGTAAGTAAGTAAATAAATAAATAGCATATGCATTACCCTTTTGTTACATTTGTTGTGTGTCAGTACAACTAATGGTACTTTGAAAATAATGGGGTACATACATAATCATTGGGAAATTGACAAAGTTGTTTTCTCTCTAAAAGTAGAATTATCTTCCTGATTCAGGTGCCTTCAAAACCTTAGACAAGGATAACAATGGAACTATTAAGGTCAACGTTCAAGAGGTAAGAATGTCACACTTAAAAGCTGGAACAATTAAACGGTTTTATGAATGTAATTAGCCTAGCAGAACTACTTTAGGAACAACATTGTAGAGTGATGCCGACAATATCACACAACACGAGGTCAAAACCCACCATTGTATAGGGTTGATGTCAAACAATTGTTTTTCTGTCTCTCTGCAGTGGCTCCAGTTGACGATGTACTCCTGAGGACATTAAATGCCTACTGGTGTTTACAAAACCAATCTGTCTCTACTTCGCGCTGCGCTTTAGACCACTCCAAGGACCCCCTATGTCAGTCAACCAGTCCCCCGGTGTATGCATGTTTCCCTACATGCTTTGCAACCTACACAATGTGAATACAGCATACAACAAAATGGGAGTTCTAGACGAAGTTGTAGACTATTGTGGTAGCAAAAACCTTTTAAATTCAAAAGAACCTCTACACCGGCTATGGCCGTCTTCACCTTTCAAAGAACTCTCCCAAATGGTAGTCATTTCACAATTATTTAAGCCAGTTAAGAAATAGTCTGTCACATATGATGTAGCTACACAACGCCAGGACAATGTTAGTTTTTGTCATGTCTCACAACCATTTTTTTTTGTGCCATTGCTTCATGAAGCCAACAGATGCCATTTAAGGATTGGGTAAATGTTGCCATAAGTCACTGAATTGTTATTGATTTTGTAATGCTCAGTGTCATATTTTGTATGGCATTAAAGAAATCTTAATGTATTTTTTGCTTGTGTTATTTCAACACTTCAAGCCTACTCATCTATCATTCAATCATTAAGGGTTGATGCATTTATCTGCTAAATGGCATATTATTATTATTATATATTATTATTTACCTAAAGGCTGGAATGATAAATGTATTTAAAAAAAGAATAAAAAAAAAAAGGTTAGATGTGCATCCAAAACTGTGAACACAGTGCTGTAGCTCACGTATTGTGGTCAGTCCGGGTATTTCTCTTTTCTCAGAAAAGTAACCCACGTAGCTAGCTACTTAGCTTGCGTACAAACTAGCGCAATAAATCTGACTGGTCTATTTGTCAGTCTTGTAAAATGAATGAAGAGGCGACAATGCGTGGGAAACGTTAGGTAGCTAGCTACAATCTTATAAAGACGTGACTAGTTAACATTAGCTAGCTAACATTAGTTTAGCGTTGTTGTTTTATGAAAAAACTGGCAAATTTGAAAAACAACATTTTTGATTTTAAGAGGCATTGTGCATTTAAAAAGTGCAAATATCTGTTACCATATGCCATACCAGCAGGGTTTACCGCTGTGTACATAAACGTTCCAGCTAACGTTAGCTAGCAAGTCACACACTTTTTTCGCAAAGGTAAATTTAGCTAATGTAGCTACTTAACTAGCAGTCTAGCCAGTAACGTTAAGCTGAACTAAATCAAGACTTTGAGCACTGGCTGCTATATAGCTCAATTTAATAACGATGGTACTCTGGATGCGTCTGTTAACAAACTGATTGCGCGAGACTGTCACAGCGGCACAATTATAGGTTGCAAGGCTTGTATTCATGATTCTATCATGCAATGTAACGGGGAACCAAATAGAATATAAACGCGCATTCGTGGACACACTAACCTGTACCTGATTTTTGATGCGTCTCTTTAGCACACCCATCTGCTGATTTTTCCATCTTAGAAGAAGAAGTTTGGAACCACCAAAACTCTTCCTAGAGCTGGCCTCCCAGCCAAACTGAGCAATCGGGGGAGAAGGGCCTTGGTCATGGAGGTGACCAAGAACCCGATGGTCACTCTGACAGAGCTCCAGAGTTCCTCTGTGGAGATGGGAGAACCTTCCAGAAGGACAACCATCTCTGCAGCACACCACCAATCAGGCCTTTGTGGTAGAGTGGCCAGACAGAAGCCACTCCCAAGTAAAAGGCACATGACAGCCCGCTTGGAGTTTGCCAAAAGGCACCTAAAGACTCTCAGATCATGATAAAAAAAGATTATCTGGTCTGATGAAACCAAGATTGAACTCTTTGGCCTGAATGCCAAGCATCACGTCTGGAGGAAACCTGGTACCATCCCTACGGTGAAGCATGGTAGTGGCAGCGTCATGCTGTGGGGAAGTGTTTCAGCAGCAGGGATTGGGAGACTAGTCAGGATCGAGGGAAAGATCCTTGATGAAAACCTGCTCCAGAGTGCTCAGGACCTCAGCCTGGGGCGAAGGGACTAATCTGCATGTCCTTGAGTGGCCCAGCCCGAGTCCGGACTTGAACCCGATCGAACATCTCTTGAGTAGGGTTGCACGATATTGGAAATAACTGACATTGCGATATTTTGTTTTTCTGCAATATATATTGCGATATGAAAAAATACAGGATGTCTTCACCAGATGACTTGAAAAGCTCTATTTGAGAATAATTAATTATTCTAGAATGATTGGGGTGATTATGTAGGGAACTGCATCTTTATGGAAAATAACAATTAAAAAATGAAACTGAAAATGACTTTTTACCTTTTGACTTATTTTGGGTAGTTTAATTTATATTAATTAATACACTGTTTAATTCACCATGGTTCTATTGTATTCATGTAATAATCTTCTATCAATTCAGGCTAAAGTCAATGATCTAACATGTTATGATATTAATAATGCATGTTGCTTACCCTAAAATAAAGGGGCTCATTTGTGAATGAAGAGGTATGGTGTCTATAAGGGATCCAGGAGATTACAGGAGGCTTTATCTCAGTACTCCAACCAGGTTAAAACAGCATTCTCTACGGAGGAAGTTTCATTATCACAATAGGGAATTAATGTGAATGACAAAATCAAATCAAAAAGTAATGTAACATTTTATTACATTACAAATGACTCTCATCTAGTCTAGGCCCCAATCAGCTAAAGCTTCTCTCATCCCTGTTGCGATGTTCTCACTTGTATGATCCTCTGGGAAAAATGCAGTTTGCAAACAGCGACTTTTCAGGTGGAAGTCCTCATTAATAAAGTGTACGGTCAGACTTATGTAGGGCTCTGTTGTCCGGCTGGACCACAAGTCTGTTGTTGCTGTATAATATTCCACTTGTGACAGCTCTGTTTCAACTTGTGCCTTGCATTTCTCGTACAACTCTGGGATGGCAACTTGAGAAAAATAGTTGCGTGATGGCATTACATACCGCTTGTCAAGCGACCGGATCATGTTTTTAAAACCCTCTTTGGTAACCGTGTTAATTGGTACCATGTCTTTGGCGACGTGAAATGTTATTGAATCTGTGATTTCTCTCTGCCGTTTGGAACCTTTCTCGTATGGTGTACTACTGGCAAAGGCATCCGAAATAGATTTTTGCTTTGGAGGGCATTGAGATGCTTTGCACTCGTCATACGAAGATTTGTGGTGCCGCCTTAAATGATCGAACAAATTGGACGAGGCAACAATTGCAAGGCACTCTCGACAAAGTACCTGTTTTTGGTCAACATCATCCTATCTGTAGCCGAAATATTTCCATATAATTGACGATGCATGTCTTTTTGCAACCAAATTCTCAATTTCGGTCTTTTTTGCCTGTTCCTCGCTCAACATTTCGTTGCGCGCAAGCAGAGCCTGCATGTCAACCACGTGCAGCAACGAACTCCGTGTTTAAAATAATTAATAATAAACTGTATCCAATAACCCATAAATCTGAGTAAATTACGTTATATCAGACAGATATAATGCTAGTTTAACATTTACAAAATATATATATTGTAGACTGTGTTAGAAATTGCGTAATTCAAATCTGGTATTGGAATAAGAGAAAACATAATCAAGAGATATTCAATCCAAGCTAAATTTATTATATGCAAAATGTATGTATGTTAAGTATGATGGTTCGTATACGGGCTCACTGAAATACCACGCAGGGCAGACAGAGAACTGACTTCCTCATTACAAATCCTTCCGTAAATACCCTGACAGTTTTAGTTCCCGCTCTCTGCTGGGCCTATCAGGGTAGAGGTTGGGCGTGGTTTAGACTTACTCAACCTATCGCTGGCGCTCAGGCTGGTCCCAGTCCCTTGGCGCTCCACTGTTGCACACTGTTGCCAGGCATAAGTTGTTATCATAACAACCTGTAGAGTCATCACCCATAGACACCGTTCCACTGTACTCTAAGTACCTACGTTCAAGGACGGTTCACAGACAACGGTTCACAGACAACAAAGAGGCAGTGTTCGTATCTGTAAGAAATACAAGTCTTATCTCATCCTACCCCCTAACGTTCCTCACATGAATCACAGCTTGTTATGTGAAACAATTTATATCAGTACAGTACAAACCTTTTATGCTTTAATCATTAATGCATTCTTTCTAAGTTAGTCATCCCATCCAGTTATGAGAAAATAGATCCCTACAATCCCCCTTTTCACACCCACTGGGTGTGAGCCCAAAATAAGAAAACACAGGGTGTCACTCATTAAAATACAATACAAACAAAAATAATCACACTTTTATTAATAGGCAATAATGATACTAAAAAATAAAAACCCTCAGTCCTTCCATCTACACCCAACTTGTAAACGGTTGGCTACCAGTCACCCAGGAACTTCAAACCTTCACATAAGGAAAGACAAACATTCACAATGGTTAACTTGATTAATAAAGCATAAAACACAGGATTAATAGAACACAAAACACAAGATTATAAAACTCTAGTGTGTGATTAAACTTTTTTAAAGGGAAAATTTAGGATTCCCTCTTTTGACACCATTTATGGTGTCACTCCAAATAACAGTTTAAACAGAATATAAACACCCCTGAGAATAACAGGATATGGAAATTAAATCACATCAAAAAATGTTAATAAAAGAAAAAATAATAATTTTAACCCTCTATTTCTCCCCTACACCTAACATGTACTGAGTTGGCTACCAGCCACCCAGGAATCCTTTAGCTTCACATCAGGAGGAATAAACAACCGTAACCACAATTTTTTTTTTTGGCAAACCATGGATCATCCAGCTTGGTCTCAGAGTCAGTAGCAGAGTCACCCGCATCATCCTGGGCCGGTAACAACGGCATCATACCTGACGCCTGCACCACTCCTACCACTGACTTCCTGAGACAGGGGATGATGCAAGCAGCACAACACATTAACAGCAAAAACACAATTACTAGGGTCAGAAATCCAGTAACCACCATAGAAGAATACGTACCGAACCAGTCACTCAACCAGGAGAACAGCCCACCACTCTCCACTCCAGCCATGCTCTTCATTTCTGCTGACAACTTATCCAGGCCAACAAGGGCCTTTGTGATGCTCCCGTCAGGGCTAGTATTGTTAGGAATAAACGTACAGCATTGTTCCCCAAACATCTTACACACACCCCTTTGGTTAGCAAGCAACATGTCAAGTGCTAGTCTATTTTGTCTAGCCACCCTAGAGGTGGCCTCTAGTTGTTCGGACATTCCAGTCAGGGCAGTGCATGTGTAGTTAACAAATCTCTGTTGGTTATAATAGATGTAATTTATCCAAGATCGCTGTTTAGCAGCATCTATAGCAGGTCCTATGATTGGCAACAAATGCCACAACCCATCATTCCTGTTGAGTGCCTGGAACTGTAATGGTACTCCCACAGGCACCCCCAACAGGTTAGAGTGGATCTCCTCTCCTGCTGACCATGGGGCACTACGTCTCCCCCGCCTCATTCTCTCTCTGTCTGGGGCTAGCTGGGCGATCCCCAAAAGTTGGTCTGAGGAAACATCAATAATGGTCAGTGGTACAATTAAA